GAGGTTAAAAGTTGTGTTTTACTTAATATTAGCATCACTTGTTCTTTTGGACGGTCCACTCACAAACACCTTGTTATTCTAGTTCGTGGAGGTTATAAGTTGTGTTTTACTTAATATTAGCATCACTTGTTCTTTTGGACGGTCCACTCACAAACACCTTGTTATTCTAGTTCGTGGAGGTTATAAGTTGTGTTTTACTTAATATTAGTATCACTTGTTCTTCCTCGTTTTTCTTTTCTTTTGTTTTCTTTGGTTCTTGTTTCTTCTTTTCTTCTGTCTTGTTTGCTTATTGTTTCTTCTTTTTTTCCTATCTTCAGTACAAGGAGAGCTTCCTTGTAGCTCATCTTCTTCCCTGATCGTACCTTGGCTACTTTACACTCCTCCCTCCACTTGAGACACTCTCGGTCGGAGGAGGAGTGAGGGCCGTCACAAGCTGCGCATTTCTTGATTATGATCTTGTAGTCAGTATGCTGGTGTCCAGAAGAAGCACATCTCGAACATACGTCCTCTGAAAGCCTTGCATTTTTTAGCTGGGTGATAATACTGTTGACACTTGAAGAATCTGGTAGGTCGTGACATGAAGGGTTTCACTGAGATGGTGTCCCATCCCCTTGTAACGGTCGTTGGTAGATGGTGGAAAAATTCAAATACAGCTGAGGTGGATTTTCCATGTGGTCTGCCCAGTTTCCGTCACACGAATATGTCGTCTCTTTCGTCTTCTGTCATTTCTTCTATTTCCTTCACGTCCATATATTGTATTTTGGTGTTAGAAATGACTTTCCACACTGCGTTGTAATTGTAGTTAAATTTCACCATAATGGGGACGTCATTAATAACTTTAACAGTTCTAAGTTGCTCAGCCTACCTCAAGTCACCGAAGGTGACTATGAGGCCACCACTCGGTCGACGGATGACCTTTGTAACCCCCTCTATAACTGAAGAAGTAAAAAATTTCTTCAGGACGAGGAGGTTATCTTTTCTGAGTGCTCCGAGCAAGGTCCTGAGAGCATTATTTTGGATAACTTCTAGCCTAGCTATCTGGTCTTCTCTCAGTCCAATGAGTGCTGGAGCACTGTAATCTACCAGCGATCTGATGGCGGCCGTGTAGTAGGCTTTAAGCACGTGTATGTTCGCTCCTGCGGTTGTGTTGGTGAGCGACCTCATTATGTTGTGTCTGCTCTTCGTCCTGTGCCTGAGATACTCGAGTTGAGGCTTGAAAGTGAGTTTCTGGTCGAACCAGATTCCAAGACACTGGTGGGTGTTGGTCCAGACTACCGGCGTGTTTTGTATGGAGAGCATCTTGTCTGGTGTGTCTGTGCAGATGGACATCGCTTTCGACTTGGCTGGATTTATCTTGCGTCCAAGTCTGTTGCACTCCTCTTCTATAAGTTGGAGTGCGTGTTGCGTGTTGAGTAGTCTGTTTGCTCCTCTTACTATGAGCTCTGTAAGTTGTCTGCATAGCAGAGAAGCTTGGCTGTTTGTCTGAAAGGTAGTCTGATTAGATATTTCATCAGGACATTGACCAGCGTTGGAGTGAGGAATTCATTGATGAGGAATATAAATATATCTATAATATTGGCTTGAACCTTAAGTACCGTAGATCCTTTATAGACAAATGCCTTAATATTACTAAGAAATCTTTTTATAGAACTCATCCTGAGCCCACCCGTGACAAATAAAAATCTCTTAGTATTACCTTTTAACAAAATAATTCTCAAATTTCTCTTCAACTGAAAACCTGGAACGTAAATGTAACATTTAGTAACTCATGCACTGTAAAAAATTTTTTTAATTAAGAGCTCCCCCAACAATGCAGGTGGCTGTATTTACAAGGTTCCTTGCAAGAAATTTAATACACCCTGTTCTACTTAGGCCAGATAGGAAAAGATCTTATAACTAGACTTAAACAACAAAAATATAGTGTTAGGACAGTTCAGAAATCCAATGCTCAGTTTGTTCATTTGAGGGATAATAAACATTGCATTGACTGGGATAATGCCTCCTCAATATTACCTTGTAATTCAATTGTTAGTAGGAACATTATAGAATCCAGTCTCATTAAACATACCGAATCTGTCAACATGAATTTGAGTAATGGTATGTACAAACTGGACAATTTTGTAATTAAGAAGATTTTTAACTAGGTGAGAAGGTTGGGTCATCTTACCTTATGACCTTACTACCGTCACGTCCTGTCCCTAGGGACTTGATCTCTCTCTCCTCTACTGTATATATTAGCCTTGTCAATTATTTCTCCTAAATTTATACTCAGCCTGAAGATGTGAATTATACGTAAGCGCTTAGGAACTTCGTGTTTTCTTGTTTTTTTGTGGTTCTCAGCGTAAATACTGTATATATATATATATATATATATATATATATATATATATATATATATATATATATATATATATATATATATATATATATATATATATAGATCATATATATATATATATATATATATATATATATATATATATATATATATATATATATATATATATATATATATATATATATATATATATATATATATTATATATATATATATTCATGTAGATCAACAATGAAAACATGGATAAGATAAATCTTAATAAAATATACAGAAGTCGACTTGTGAAAGAGACCTAGGGGAACTTGTAAGCCCGTACCTACGGCCTAGAAAACAGTGCGTTAATGTTCGAAATAAGGCAAACAGAGTACTGTATTGGGTTTTATATCTAGAAGTGTAAGTAACAAGAGTGCAGAGGTCTTATTACAACTATATCTTGCGCTAGTCAGGCCGCACCTCGATTATGCGGTTCAGTTCTGGTGCCCCTATTATAGAATGGATATAAATTCACTAGAGCATGGCTTCACAAGCGGACGTTCTTGCCTAACTAATCTATTAACATTCTTTTCATCAGTTTTCGAATCGGTGGACGAGGGGCACAATTATGATGTGGTATATCTCGACTTTGTAAAGCCTTCGACAGTCCTCGAAAGACTAATTAGAAAAGGTAAAGCTCATGGCATCAAAAGGTGACATCCTTAAATGGATGAATTAGTTCTGCAGGACGGGAAACAGCAGAGGTAATTAACGGCACTAAAATCCATTGAACCTTCACCAAAATTAAGGTTCCCAAACCAATACTTGGACCATTATTATTTATTATATACATAAACATTACATAAATATCGGCATTGGCAGCAACATAAAATAAATTTGCTGATGACACTAAAATAGGACGATGTTATCAAATCGGCGAGGACTCAGCAAAACCTGAGGAGAAGATCTAAACAAATTTTTCAGATAAATCCTTGAAAAAATGGCAGATGAAATTCAACGTCGACAAATGTAAAAAGTACTCAGCATAGGAGATGTAAACAGGAAAACCAGATACCAGATGAACAACGATGCCATAGAGAAATCCGACTGCGAGAGAGATTTAGGAGTAATGATAAGTAGGAACCTTAAGCCAAGTAAACAATGTGTTTTTGCTCGTAACAAGGCTAATAAAGTACTTGGGTTCATACAAAGGAGTGTTAGTTACAAGACTAGCGAGGTCATCCTAAAACCGTATTTTGCTCTTGTGAGACCACACCTGGATTACGCAGTTCAGTTCTGGTCACCGTATTACAGGATGGATATAGAATCCTTGAAAAGAATTCAGAGGAGAATGACAAGACTAATCCTGGGCATTAGGAACCTTGAGTATAGAGACAGGTTAAAGCATCTTAATTTGCACTCCCTCGAGAGACGTAGAGCGAGGGGCGACCTGATAGAGGTGTATAAGTGGAAGGCAGGGCTAAACAAAGGGACATTACAAAGGTACTCAAACTATCCAACCAGGAGCGAACTCGTAACAATGGTTTTAAATTAGACAAATTTAGATTTAGGCGGGAAATAGGTAAACACTGGTTTGGAAACAGAGTAGTGGATGAATGGAAGAAGTTACCAAATATCATCATTAACTCGAATACGCTGAATAGCTTCAAACATAGGTTGGATGCTTATATGAGCAATAGGGGTTGGGTGTAAACGGGACTGCCCAGTATGGGTCAATAGGCCCGCTGCAGTTTCCTCCATTCTTATGTTCTTATGTTCTTATGAGTCGGTGCATCGAAGAATGACAAAAATGATTCCGGGACTTAGAAACCTTCCATATCAGGATAGGCTAAAGAAACTTAACTTGCTTTCCCTAGAAAGACGAAGAGTGCAGGGAGATATGATAGAAGTATTTAAGTGGGTGAAAGGAATCAATAAAGGGGATATAGATAAAGTTCTTATAATATGCGAGCAGGATAGGACTCGGAGCAACGGATTCAAGTTGGATAAGTTTAGGTTTAGGAGGGAGATAGGAAGAAACTGGTTTACAAATAGGGTGGTGGACGAGTGGAACAAGCTTAGCAACTTTGTAGTAAGTGCTGGAACGCTGGAAAGTTTCAAAAGGAGGCTAGATAGATTCATGGATGATAGAGAGTGGTAGTAACTCTCGACAGGAGCTGCCGTGCACAGGCCAACCGGCCTATTTCAGGCTCCTTGTGTTTATATATATATATATATATATATATATATATATATATATATATATATATATATATATATATATATATATATATATATATATATATATATATATATATATATATATATATGACACACACACTCGAGACAGGTCCTCAGCGAGGGCCTTCCTATTTCAATCTTGAGCGAGAGAGTCCGCAAATCGTTTCATTATCCTAATATATCATTGAAACTTGTTTTCATGCATATTGTATAAATAACATATTTTACCCATGTATACTAAACATAGTTCAAGAGATAGCTAAGGTGCTGCGTTAACGATCAAGTAAATTAATTGATATCCGAGGCTCAGGCACCGGGTCATGGCACTTTTGTGAATAGTATCCCTTTTGACATGAAATCATTGGAATGTGGCATTTCCCTCAGTGAGCGTTAGATATGCAAGGCCACTTTTCATCAAGATCATCACAGTTGCGTTGTTCTTATGCAGGAGAACTCGGGTCAAGTGGTGCTGGGCCTGGACCACCTGCAGGGTGCCTTCTACCTGCTGCTACTGGGTTGCTGCCTCGCCCTTCTAGTGGAGATCTTCAGTTACTTCTGCTACAAAAGTCAAAAATCAAGTCTTGTTGCAAATCATACCCAAAACTGATATATGCTGCAGACCATTTATATTTAGAAAAATATGTAAATATATACGGTTGTCTGACATTACTGTTTTTTACAATTGTTGTATTGAAGCTAACACGTTTAACGTATTTTGTATGACAAACACACAGACACACACACACACACACATGCATACACACACACACACACACACACACACATGCATACACACACAATGTAATATATATATATATATATATATATATATATATATATATATATATATATATATATATATATATATATATATATATATATATATATATATATATATATATATATATATATATATATATAAAACTTAAATTTTTTGTGACATGTTTTTTCACTTTACCACATTCATGATAAACTAATGTAGGATCACCTGTAGAATTGTCATCCCAGAGTTTGGCAGGGTGACAAATCTTCAGGTGGGGTCAGGACCCTCCATGGTTAAGTCAGGTTAGGTTAGGTGTATATTATTCTTATTATTTGTTTCTTTAAACTTTTCGCAATAAAGAAGCATAACACAAAGGAATGTATTTATGTTATCCTAATTATACAAATTATATTTTCTGTGGGCTGGGTGACGATTCTTCAGGTGGAGCAGGCTGGGGTGACAATTCTTCAGGTAGGATATCCTGGGGTGACGATTCTTCAGGTGATCCCAGATTTATTTTATTTTCATTACATAGTATTGCTACATAAGGATGACCATATAATATTAAGATAGCAAAGATAACTTTCACAGAATTGGAAAAAGTAATTTTTACAAATGTATTTGTGTCTCTCCAGTAACATTGTTCTCAAATTACTCTCTTAAGCCTGGTCAACCTGCGTCACACTCTCCTAAGATAAAGTAAAAAATAAGATCCACTCAGATATAAGTTTTTTGAATGAAAACATTGAAAACAAAATTGCTCTAGAGTAATAGAGATTTACAAAACGTCAGATGAAAAGTTTTAGAGGAAAAAATAAAACACCGGATTAATTTCAGAGAAGTAACAAAGCGCCCGGGAAAAGAGAGTTCGTGTTTGGTTTTACCCCAGGGATTTATGACCATGTGTGTTTGCGGGTTGGTCAATAGCTCCCGTACCAAATGGGACCGTGACTTCTTTTGTAAATAGATGATTCATTGGAATTTTTTTGAGAGCTTGAATTTCGCTGTGCTCTAACGGAGCTTCATGATAGAGCATGTTGAAGAAAATACTGTGTTAGTTCAACTTCAGGATCCGAAAGTTCTGTATAGGTTCAGTTGGCATCTGTCAGTGATTGGTGCTGACTATTACATTTCTTATCTTCGGGTGTTAAACAAACTGAGGCATTGTGATCATTTTCTGTTTTTCATTGTTACTGGGATTTATTAATTCAGTGAGACTAATATTGTTGGCTACCATCAACCCAGAGTCAACCAAACTCAAGCAGGATAATCACCAGTATAAATTAGATCAAATATTTATATATAGCTAGAACAGTGTTTTTTTTTTGGGGGGGGGGGGTGGTGGAACTCAAAAGTTGTTTGATAATTTTAGGGCAATAAAGATTCTTTCAGGGCGATTCATTTTATATATATCTACAGTAATATTATATATTGTTGACGTAATTAAACTCTAAGCTGATGCTGTGTCATTTATTCCCCTTTTCTTTCTTCTACTGTTTTATATAACAGTGGTTGCAACCTCTAATTGAGTAAGATTTTTGCAATTATCTCATGATTTAGCAATCAGACAAAACTCCTTCCTCACCAAGAGGATAGTTTTCAACCCAAAGTTATTTACTAGATTATTTTTTTTTATTAGCTGATTTTCGAAATAATGTCCGAAAAATGGAGTCAGCTCTACAGACGGTCTTTATCTCAGTATGAGGGCAGACACGCCACCATGTACCGGAATATAGGCCACTGGTAGGTCGGTGTGTTGTGTAGCACGTGAAAACACAGTCCAAACAAGTCAGACTCTCTAAGGTCTTAAAGTCTATGATATTTTACAAGTCTCCATTTTTACCCAATACTTTAAGATTATTTCAAGGATTGTTATAATAAAATCAGCTTGGCCACGTGTTATGAATTATTTATTTTCTTGGTGGCTATTTTGGTGATATTTATAGTCTTTAATTCTTGTGTTATTAGCCTAATCTGGACATTTGATATATAGACTCCCAGGGAGATAAGAAATGTTTTAAGATGATCTCCGTAAAATGATCAGACTAATGATCAACTTCTACTGCCCTCACGTGTTCGAAGATTATTTTCACCTACACACACACACACACACACACACACACACACACACACACAGAAGATCAAGTGCTCCACCACCCCCAGTGACGTACCAATGAAGCTCTAAAAGAAGTTCTCCCAAAACTAGTTAAACCCATCTGCTAAGCTAGACGTTTAGCAAACTGGAAGTCTTCGTATGTGTCACCAGTGCCCAAGTCAACGAGCCCACGATCCTTAAACCAGTTACGATCCATTACCTTCATCCCAATACCCAGCCTAATCTGCGCAAGTTCGTTTTGTCGGGGCTTATGCTGATATTGTAGGCGCTATAGATCCTCAGTAATTTCGCACTATAAAAGCTTCCTCCGCCAACCACTGTCTTGTCAGCTTTTTCGACTACATATATTGCTATTTGGAAAAACGCAAGACGTCTGTGGTTCCCGTCTTCATTGACTTTACTAGGGCATTCGACCTAGTAAACCACAATAAAATTATCAACAAAGCCACCAACCTTGGGCTTCGCTTTAGTCTTATACCATGACTTATAGACTTCCTTAGTAACCGACACCAAGCGGTGCACTTTTGAGGGACTGTTTCCACCTTTCAGTCACCTGTAGCTTCCTCAAGGCACCAAGATGGGACCGCTTTGCTTCCTCACCCTTAGCAATGATGTCCTAAGAAAAACTTCCGTCCGCTGGAAATATGTCTACGACTCCGCCATTGGGGTCAGTGTGAACAAATCGGCCCCCGATTACAGCGCCCTCCAGAATATATTGAAATATTGAACAGTCTCCAAAATTAGGCCACCAACAACCATTTTACCACCAATCATACCATGATCAATGTTATACAGATAAACCTCTCCAGGTTGTGGGCTCCAATAAGCTCCTCGGCGTCACTATAAATAACAAACTAAATTGGAAAACACCTGTCAGTACAATTGTCAAATCCTCCAAATTTTCGTCTTCACCTCCTCCGTTACCCCCAACCCCTCGGAGTTCCCGCGCCCTAGCTTCTCAGTTCTTACATACGTACTTAGCAATCATACTTCCCAAGCTCACCTATGCTTCCACTGCCTGGCCTTCCTCCCTAAATACCACACAACAGAAACACATTGAAAAAGTGCAAAAGCGTGCAAGATTATCCCCCGCTTCTACTCCACATATAAAGAAGCGCTCAGCACACTGACCCTCTCGCTTCTCTATGATCATCACCACGACCTCTTCTGCAAATTTGAGGAGAGGGTTCTCCACCGTCTCCTGCTCCCACCCGAGATCCCATATCCGCACCCAGACCCTACGAACTTGTACTGATCGCTATAAGCACAGCCCATTTCCGACCATTATGAAAAAATATCAACAACTCGTAGTTAACCAATGTGCTTACGCCCTGCGAATCTTACTTTTACACTGTTACTCTACTGAAAATTCCTTGTTGAATGATCTTCTCTCCCTTTGTTAATACCTGTATATATAATATTTGTATCACTTGTTACTTGTGTATTATTTGTCAATCAATTAACCCATTTTCATGTCTGTTGATTGTATATTTTCAGCCTTTTAGGCTGCCATACTTTTTCATTAAACTGTTAATTATTATTATTATTATAATTATTATTATTATTATTATTATTATTATTATTATTATTATTATTATTATTATTATTATTATTATTATTAATAATTATTATTATTATAGTGTTAGTATTATCTTATTATTATTATTATTATTATTATTATTACACACACACACACACACACGTGTGCAGTTGGATACATACTGTAGGTAGTCAAAGAGATGAAGGAAGAATACATGGACATGAAATCAATATTGCAGTTCATAAAATGGAAAGACTAAGCTCTCAATTCTCAGAGAACTAATTTTTTCGTTCACATTCTCCTCAACATTGGAGGGTAGGACCTTCGTAGAAATCAATTATAATTATATATCGTGCTTAAAATTATTAGATGCAGAACTTGCCTCTTATTAGATTAATCCTTAAAGTTCTATAGATAAGTATAAAAAACATTAATAATTAACGTCGACGATTGACATTCAGTGAGTGAGTGAGCGAGCAAATAAAAAGAGCGACAGAGATGTTCTCTCTTCATTGTTCTGGTCCACCGGGCCCCATCACCAAGTGTCTCCTGTGACCTACAGTTCACACCCTGTAAGTCGTCCACCGGGCCCCATCACCAAGTGTCTCCTGTGACCTACAGTTCACACCCTGTAAGTCGTCCACCGCGCCCTCTCACCAAGTGTCTCCTGACCTACAGTTCAGCACCCTGTAAGTCCACGTCCCCCATCACCGCTCCTGTAGAGTTCGCACCTCCGTCCACCGCGCCCCGTCACCAAGTGTCTCCTGTGACCTACAGTTCACACCCTGTAAGTCGTCCACCGCGCCCCGTCACCAAGTGTCTCCTGTGACCTACAGTTCGCACCCTGTAAGTCGTCCACCGCGCCCCGTCACCAAGTGTCTCCTGTGACCTACAGTTCACACCCTGTAAGTCGTCCACCGCGCCCCGTCACCAAGTGTCTTCTGTGACCTACAGTTCACACCCTGTGAGTCGTTCAACGCCTTCTCTTACTCATTCCTGATATCGTTAAAAATTTTTACCTTTTTAGGGTAAGCCACTAATAATGAGCTTCGATATTAGTTACATTTGTATGTCAAATTAATGCTACATAGAAAATAATATCTATTGAATGTTTTATAAACGATTTTTTCGAACAAAGGCAAAACTTTAACAATTGATCACACACATATGTCAAGTAGATATATTAAATAATATAATCATTTAGCCATCTTACCCGTGAAAACAAAATCATTAAAAAAAATTCTCACGAGTATCGACGAGGATTGATAGAAGAAACTATAAAAATGAAAATAACAGATTTTTCATATGCGAAAATTTGATATTAGTCATAATCAAGTCTGTTGTGTCATTATTGTTAATTTGTTGTATTCCTTTTATATTGTTGTCTCTGTTATCAATAATCATTCAGTTATTTATATCATCACACACAAGATGAGAGTCCAACACATATGTTAAACTAAGTTGACTTTTGTGAAATTTAATCAATCATATAATATCTGGACAGAGTTGCCCTACCTACTATGTTGCTGCCGTACTCTCTGGTATGGTTCAACTTACTGCTCGTAAAAATATCGCACAGACGTCATTAAGAATTAATCATAAGTCTTCTAAATTTCTCGACTTACCATTATTTTCTTTTATAGAAAACAAGAATGACGTTTCGGCGTCCTAATAAGCCGACAGACTTGACTGAGCGCATTAAGATAGTGTACATGTGGATGGACGGGATGACCTGCCGTTCCATTGCACGAGCAACAGGTAAGAGTGCATCGACTGTGTGCAGGTGGATCAAACGCTGGAAACGAGAAGGTCACGTCAACACAAGACCTCGTAGTGGCAGACCTCTTAAAGTCATGAAAAAGCACAATACCACCATCACTCCCTCAGTGTCTAGATCTCCGTTGGCCTACAAAAATGACTCCTACCCTCTATACTATTAGTGCAGATCACATCGTGCAGACAATCAGCCCTCATCTTCCTGTGTAAAATTGCAGTGATTAAAATACATAATCGAAATCTGTCTGGGTTTTTTTGTCAACGCGAAATATTATATCCAAATAATCTGCGCGGTTGATGATGGAAAAAAAAAGTATATATACAATAATATATATATATATATATATATATATATATATATATATATATATATATATATATATATATATATATATATATATATATATATATATATATATATATATATATATATATATATATATATATATATAGAGAGAGAGAGAGAGAGAGAGAGAGAGAGAGAGAGAGAGAGAGAGAGAGAGGAGAGAGAGAGAGAGAGAGAGAGAGAAAAAACAAAAAAAAGACTGGAGGAAACTGCAGCGGGCCTACTGGCCCATACTGGGCATTCCCATTTACAGCAAATCGCTATCGCTCATATATCCGTCCAACCTGTAATTGAAGATGCCCAGCGTGTTCGAGTTAAAGATGATGTTTGGTATATATATATTGGTATATATTACTGAATATATTTAATCTCACAAGCAAATATTTTCAAACTGAATCGCTTTCAAGCTGCTTCTAGCTGTAATACTACAGAGAGAATTTAGAATCCATAGAATTCAGAGGAGAATGACAAGATTAATCCCGGGCATTAGGAACCTTGAGTACAGAGGCAGATTAAAACATCTTAATTTGCACCACTTGAGAAACGTAGAGTGAGGGCCGATATAATCGAGGTGTATAAATGGAAGTCAGGGGTAAACTAAGGTGATATAACAAAGATACTTAAATTTTGCGACCAGGAGTGAACTCGCAGCAATGGTTTTAAATTAGACAAATTTAGGTTTAGGCGCGTGATAGGTAAACATTGGTTTGGAAATAGAGTAGTGGACAAGTGGAACAAGTTACCAAATATCATCATTAACTCGAAAACGCTGGGTAGCTTCAAACATAGGTTGGGTGGATATTATGGGCGATGGGGGTAGGGTGTGAATGGGGCTGCCAAGTGTGGGCCAGTCGGACTGTCCTAACACTGTATTTGTGTTGTTTGATTCTAGTTACAAGATCATTACCTGTCTGGCATAAGTAAAACATATTACGTTCCTTGCAAGGAACTTTATAAATGCAACCAATTGGTTAACAAATAAAGAAAATATTATCAGAGATATCACAGTAGGGGAAGAACTAGGTAACAGTGATCACAGAGAAATCAGGTTCACCCTAAATTGGGAAACAAAAAACAATGACAATATTGTCAGAGTCCCAAACTTTCGGTTGGCGGATAATTATCAGGGATTAAGAAGGTACCTAGGTGAGATCACCTGGGTATAGTCACGTCAGTCCCAGTAGGAAGGGGTGAGGTCATAGATGACACAACAATTGATCATGACTATAATATATTTATTAGTATACTACATAAATCACAAGAACAAAATCTACCATACAGAAAAATTAGGTCAAATAAGAATGAGCCAAGGTGGATGACCAAAAAACTTAAACATGACATAGGAATAGAGAAAGGAATATATACGAAATTAAAGGAGGAGGAGCAGCTCAGAAATAGGTATAATGAACTATCTAGGAATGTTAAAAAAAATGTAAGGAAAGCAAAGAGAGACTATGAAATCAAAATAGCAAGAGAATCCAAGGCGAATTCCAAGGGATTTTTCCAGGTATATAGAACAAAAGTCAAGGACAAAGTTGGGCCTTTAAAGTCAGTGAACATAAGAAAGTGGGATACTGCAGGAGGCCGACTGGCCCATACAGGGCAGATCCCTTTCACACCCATCCCAGCACTTCCATGTGCCTATCCAACTTCGTCTTGAAGCTCCCTAGCGTCCCCGATCCTACTATAGCACTCGGTAGCCTATTCCACATATCCACAACTCTATTACCAAACCAGTGCTTGCCTATATCCTTTCTGAATCGGAATTTATCTAATTTAAAGCCATTTGTTCTAGTTATTTCGTTATTACTGAGCTAGAGACATCTATTTACCCTTATTAATCACTTACCCACTTGTACACCTCTATCATATCTCCCTAACTCTCGCCTCTCCTAATGTAAGCCTAAGCTTTCAGTCTTTCTTCATATGGAAGGTTTCTAATATTATGGATCATTTTTGTCATTCTTCTTTGTACTCTCTCCAAAGAATCTATGTCCATTCTATAATAAGGACACCAGAACTGAACCGCATAATCCATGTGTGGCCTCACTAATGCTAGGTAAAGTTTCAAGATAACGTCAGCAGTTCTGTTACTCACAGACCTAGATATGAACCCAAGAATCCTGTTTGCCTTGTTCGAACGCTAATACATTGTTTTCTAGGTTTCAAGTCGTTGCTAACAAATACACCTTGATTTTTTTCACAAACTGAGTTTTCTATTTCCGTGTTACCTAGTTTATACTTAACGTTTGTATTCGTCTTCCCTATCTGTAGTACCTTGCATTTATCACTATTAAAATTCATTTGCCAGTCTACTGACCACTCATGTAAGGTATCTAGATCTCTTTGAAGGTGTTCAAAGTCACTGTCTGAATTTATCACTCTACCCATTTTGGTATCATCTGCAAATTTACTAATCCTACTAGTTATGCCTAAATCAAGATCATTAATAGACATAACAAACAGCAGAGGGCCTAATACAAGTCCTAGAACTCCGCTTGACCGCACCCAGTCAGCTTTAATCCATTTATGCTGACTCTTTGTTTTCCTGATTAACCTGACCTAATCCATTTTAATATGATCACCTATTCCATGTGCTTCTGCTGTATAAATATGAGGACTCTATCAAGATGCTTTACTGAAATCTAAGTAAATTATATCATATGACTTATCATTATCTACCGCTTCATATACTTCTGAGAAAAAGCTAAGCAAATTTGTGAGACAAGAACGTCCCTGGGTGAACCCGTGCTGAGAAGAATGAATTAAGTTGAATGTTTCAAGATGGCTTCTGATTTTCGTAGCAATAATTGACTCTAGCAACTTGCCTATGATTGACGTGAGACTAATGGGACGGTAATTTGATGCAATTGATTTATCACCTTTTTTGAAAATCGGAACTACATTTGCAAGTTTCCAAACTTCTGGCACTAGGCCCGATTCTAATGACTTATTAAATAAAACTGCTAATGGATTACTCAACTCATCTCTACATTCTTTTAATATTCTAGCATATACCTCGTCTGGACCAGGCGATTTATGAGGCTTCAGTTTGTTAATTTCTTTAAGCACATCGTTACTAGTAATATTGATATTCATCAACATATTTTCTATACTATTAGTTATATATGAACTTCTAGGAAACTGTGCTGGTTTTCATTTGTGAATCTGGGGCTGAATAACTATTCTTATTTTGTACTACACATTTCTAACTCATCATCAGTCATTTCTCCTGTCGTAGTTTTAAGGGGACCTATTGTATCTCTAACCTTTGATTTATACAATTGATAAAAAGCTTTGGGGTTATTTTTCGATTCGTTTGCTACCTTGATTTCATAATTTCTCTTTGCTTTCCGAATTTCTGTTTTTACCTGTCTTGTTAGGTTCTGATAGTAACCAAGTAAGTGATTTTCGCCTTTCTTAACTTTTCTATATACTCCTTTCTTTTTCCTAGAAGATCTAAGAGTCTATTATTCATCCATTTGGTTGGTTCCGTATCGATCTGAATTTTCTTTTAGGGATGTGTTTATTTTGGGCATTATTGATTGTCGCAATAAATTGTTCATAAGTAGCTGCTAAATTAAATTCGGGGTTATCCCGTCCTAAGTTGACAGTTTCCGGAGGTGTGTGGGGGATTAATCTTTTGACCATAGGGTCATCCCTTAGGTCTCTCCTTAAGCTACCGTAATTAGCCTTCCTAAAATCCGGGATCAAGGCCGAATTTTCCTTTTTCCTGCCATCCCATATTATGTTAAAATATATGGCTTTATGATCACTGTTTCCTAGTTCGTCTCCAATCTCAACATCTTTTACTAGATTTTCATTATTACTGAGAACTAAATCGAGGATATTATTTCCTCTAGTGGGCGAGTTTATGAATTGATATAAAAACTATCTTGTACTACTTCTAGAAAATCTTCAGATTCATTATCGCTAAGTTGATTTTTCCAATCTATGCCTGAAAAGTTGAAATCGCCTAGAATACATACATTGTTTCTATCAGATGCCTTCTTTATTTCCTCCCATAGCAATTTACCATCGTTCCTACTCAAATTTGGTGGTCTATATATAACACCAATAAGCAAAGCAATGAACAACTACTTCTTATCAGTTTTCACAGAAGAAATTCGTGAGTAAATTCCAGAGGTGGAACTGATATTTAGGGAAAGGAAGAAGAGAAATTACAGAATATCACTATCAGAAAAGAGGATGATTTTAAGAGGATAAATAAACTAAAGAAGACAATCCCCAGGGGAGGATGAAATTTTCCCTCGAGTCTTGAAAGAGTGCAGGGAACAGATTAGCGCACCCCTCGTAAATTTATTTACAAAATCATTAGACACCGGAGTTGTGCCAGACTTGTGGAAAGAGGCAAATGTAGTACCCATATTAAAAAAGGGAGACAGAGCATCAGCGTCAAATTACTGGCCGATCAGTTTGACGTCAATAGTGGGGAAATTTCTTGAATCAATTATAGCAGATAGCATCTGATCCCATCTTGAGAGAAGCAAATTAATCTACGACTCGCAACATGGGTTTACAAAGGGAAAATCTTGTCTAACAAATCTGCTGACGTTTTTTAGGAAAGTTTTCGAGGTAGTAGATAAAGACAAAAATTATATTGTTATTTACTAAGACTTTAGCAAAGCATTTGACAGAGTTCCGCATCAGAGGCTTCTGAGAAAAATTAAGGCTCATGGTATCGAGGGAAAGTTTTAAATTGGATAAAATCATGGCTCACCGATAGAATGCAGAGGGTCAGCGTAGATGGTGTTAAATCTGAGTGAGGCGGTGTAACCAGTGGGGTTCCCCAGGGGTCAGTACTAGGCCCACTCTTGTTCATAATCTACATAAACGAT